CCCGGAGAGCCGGTGCCCACACCCAGGCACAGACCCCGGGGCTGGCTCCACTCCCCACCTCTGCTGGTCTGACATCTGCAGCTCCACAGCTGCAGTTACCTCAGCCCCCCCCGGGCACGGAGACAGGCGCACTGCTCCCCCAGCGGGGGACGCTGCTCTGGGCTTTCTCACGGGGAGCCTCTTGCTGCAGAGGAGAGAATCAATGCAAACCACATCTCCAACCAGGCCTGCAGCTAGCAGCACCCTCCGACCCAGACCCTTCACCCAGCACCGCACGGCACCAGGGCCGCACAAACAGGACAGGAGGCACCAGACTGGCCTCCCATCGAAAGTGAACGGCCACCTGGGCTGGCAGCCAGGGCAGAGTCCCAGGGCTGAAGGAGCCATGGGCACTGAGCTCTCTTCTCTCCCCCTACACTCCACGAAAGGCCAAACTCTCTAGGAGACACATGGACGAAGTTCTTGGAGAAAGTGCTGCCGCCACTGCCTCCCACCGTCTTCTGAGCAGGCGCCCCCTCCCGGGAAGGCCATACTATCCCACCCCACTCATCCTCTGCATGGAGGGAAGGCTGCAGGAGGTGGCTGGCTGGCACATGAGGGGATGCACAGACTGGAACGACCGGGGCTGGTGAGGGCAGGGGGGCCCCAGACAGTCTATATGGGGCAGATTCCCAGAGTGATGCTCTGGGGTCTCCAAGAGATCCTGGATGGTGGCACAACGCCCACCCCCCGGCTTCCCCCCAGCACGGCTCTCGCCTGCTCCTGCTCCTCCAGAGAGCAGCGCCTCCCACAGGCAAGGCTGGGGCCTTGGCAGGGTTCGGCTCGCTTTCAGGTGTTTTCGCTTCAGTGAAAACGCTCCAATACAAAGTTTTCCTTAAAGCAAAACAAACGAACCCAAAGCCAACAGCCCAGGGCTCACCTGCGATAACCCACCAGCAGCAGGGCAGCCCCGAGCCGACCCACAGAACCCTTGTCCCCAAACACCCGAGTGCAGCGAATCCCAGCGGCCTGCCATGCCCCCTCCAGGGACATCACTTCCAGCTCAGCCTCCCACCGGTCCAGGTCTAGGCTGGTGCCAACCTCTCTGCCCCTGTTCCAGGACATCCACCTGAGAGGTCCCAGGTTCAATTCCCCCCTGACCCATCTCCAGCCCCAGGCCAGGGCTCCCTGCAGTTCCACTCAGCCAGGTCTGCCCGCTGCAAGTCCTACCCCCGCTCTGGATCCTCCCTCCAGCACCAACCCCTATCCCCTGGGCTCCTCCCAGCACCCCCCACTCTGGCCTGCTGCAAGGGGGCTTCACCCCCCCCCCCCCGCCCCATTCCCCAGGACGCCCTGCCCCGGCTGCTGGGATGCACCGTTTCAGGCTTGGCTTCCCACAGCCAGGCGTGATCACCCCACGTTCCCAGGAGCTGCTGCACAAACTCCTGCAACTCCCCAGAGGTTCCCCAGCTCCGGCCCGGCCTCACTGATCGTATTCTTCACTTTGCCGTCTCCCCAACAGCTCCCTGGTCCCCCTCACCTCTGCCACGCCTGCCTGGCCCTGGCACTCTCCGGGCCCCCAGCCCCCGGGCTCAGGTGCCCTCTTTAGAGCTCAGCTGGGGGATAGCTGCTCAGTCACAGGTGCACTGGCCTCGTCCTCCTTAAAGGGCCAGTCCCCCTATGACAGCTACAACAACAAAGAAGTGCATGCAGGCTCAGCCCTTACTGGCAACCCTACAATAACAAACTTATGTGCACACAAGTGTTGGAGGAAAACCAATACCAGGGAGTCCAAGCTGAGATCCCAGCTTCTAAGCCATCACCAACCAAGCCCAGAAAACAACGGGAACAATCGCTGGTGAGTGTCACCATGGGACCTGGCTGGGACGGGCCCCCTACGGGCAGCACTCCCCACCCGCTCCTGTCTCCTTCCAGCCCCCCCCCCCCCAGCTCTTCACTCTCCTCCTGCCACACCAGGGAAAGCAGAAGGGGCGTCGACGACGACACCCAAAGCCCCGGTATCTCCCCCAGGCTCAGTCCCAACCTCTGACCTCTCTCTCCTCAGCCTCCGCAGCAGCAGCTCCCAGCTCTGCCCGCCCCAGGTGCCCACGGGGCCAGGCTGACCCAACCTAGCAGCACCAGCTGTCCTCACCAGGCAGGCAGGCAGCACTGGCAGCGCCAGCGCAGACACAGCAGGGGCACCGCACCGGGGGGGGGGGGGGGGGGGGAACGGCTCTGTGCTGGGAGAGTGGGCCCAGATGCCCCTGTCCAGGAGCCTGCAAGCTGGCATGGGCCACATACAGCCAGCCAGCTCTGAACTCCAGCCCGGAGACGAGAAGACCAGGGCTCCCAGCCAGCAAGCTGGGGTGGGGGGAAGCAGCCCCTCCCCGCTGAGAGGAAGACCATGGCCCCAATCCTGCAGTGAGTAAACTCGGCTGAGTAGCTGCACTGACTCCAATGCAGTCACTCCCTGTGTGCAGCTAACCCCGTGCGGAGCCCAGCCAGCCGGGGGCACCGACTGCCCACCCCCTCCCCGCCTAGTTACTAAACCAGGCCGGGGTCTGGAACCGCAGGCCCCGTGGCTCCTGGGGCAGGTCACTCACTCTTCTAGCCATTCCCTCCGCCTAGGGAGCTGGGCCCCCACATCTCACAACCCCCAGCACCGCTGAGCCAGCCTGCAATCCCCCCACCCCCCCGAATGGTCATGTCATGGAACAGACCCTCTCCCCTGGATTCCAGATACAAGCCAGGGACATTTCAATGGGGCCGGGGAACCCCCCAGGGGCCAGGCTGGGACTGGTCCCTCGGCCCCCCTGGCCTGGCATCGCCTGGGCAAAGGGAGCAGAACAGGGTCTTACATGGACCTGCCAGGGAGACGTGGTGACAAACGGACATGCACAGGGCAGGCAGACGGACAGACACGCGCAGGCAAAGAGCCCCCCCAGGCTGACTGCTGTATTTGTAGGAGGCGCGTCCCTTGCTCTCAAGGAGCCGCTTTTATGAATGAGCGAGTGACAGCGCGAGGACGGATCCAGCAGCCGCCGCTAAGAAGATGCTGCTCACCTGGATCCCGAGTCAGCGCGGCTGCTTCAACGGGACCGACCGGCGCCAAAGGCGGGTCGAGCGTCTGGCTCACGCGAGTGACTCAGCCAGGGCCCAGCCTGGCACCCCAGGGCCCACACAGCCGCCCCAGCTCACCCTGGCAGCTCCCCTACTCTGCTCTCTGTACCCCCCAGCAGAGGAGAGGCTCTGAGCCAGGACAGCCCCGGAATCAAAGTGAGGAGAATTGTCCGGACTCCGTTCGAATACCAGCACCTGCCCTGGCACCGCGGGGAGCAGCTCGGTCCTGGGGTTCCCTCGTCCGGCCTTTTCCCTGCTGGTGCAGCAGCCCCAGCGTTTCCTAAAGCAAACGCTCCAGCCCTGCGCCCCCTCCGTCCCAGCACCCGCAGCCTTCCTGGCCCCGTCGCAGCAGCAGCCGACGGGCCGCGAAGCACCCTCTGGCCCCTGGATCAGACACACACAAAGCCACCGGCGGAGACGGGCCTCATCCTACAGGAACCCCCCTGCTCCCAACTGTCACCCGCCAGCCCCGGGAAGCTCCAGGGGCAGAGGCAGGGGCAGGCACCGACAGCAGCGGCCGTCTGGTCCCAAGGTTGCATTGTCTTCCTTTGTAGCTGAAATAATATCCCAAGTCCCCCCGAAAGGGCCAGGCTTTGGCGGGGGGGGCTACCAATCCCCTCCAGGGTCTCTGGCTGGTTCCTTTCACTCTCTGGTCCGAGTGCCAGTCTCGTTAGGAAGAGGTTCACCCCCCGCCCTGCGGGATCCCACGTCTGCCTGACAGCGAACACCACGGCTCAGGCTGCGCACCGAGCCCGCAGGACGGCCGTGATGGGCCGGCCTGGGCACGGACACAAAGCCCCCGCTGGGAGCTGCCCCGGGGCAGAGGTGAGCGGGGAGGGGGACAGGGTTCTCCACAGAGTAACTGCCCCCCCCAGGGGAAAATCTGTTTGCACATGGTGAGGCATTGCACGAACTGGCACCTCCCCCAGACCCAACACCCAGGGCTAAGCTGGCACCCTCCCCCCCCCATCACACTGAGCCCCCCCATCCTGTACCCCCCACTGTACATGTGCCCAGCCACAGCCTGGTTCTGTGCAGCTCAGCCGGAGGACGGGGTACGGGGGGCACAGGACAACCTGCTGCCTCGGTTGGCGGCTGCCAGTCGGGCTTTGCGGCTCGGGCTGAGACGGGCAGAAAACTGAGCGCCCGGGAGCGGCGGGTTCCGCCTGCCCAGTCCCCTTTGCCCAGACCCCAGCAGGGCCGGGACTGGGTCCTGTGGGGCCCCGACAGGACCAACACCTGCTCCCAGCAGCAGCACGGGGGCCCCGCACCTCCCCGCCCCCACTTCACCCCCGACGGGCGGCCCGGCCCCCGGGGCACTGCTGACCCCCCGCCCGCGCCCGGAGACCCCGGGCCCAGCCCGGCCGGGGCCAGGCGCTCCTCGCGGGGGGGCCGGGGGGCCCCGGGGAGCCGAGCCGCTGCAGTCACCCAAGGGGCGGCCGCTCTCAGAGCCAAGCCCCCGCAGCCCCGTCCAGAGCCGCCCAGCGCGCCCCGGGCACCCCGAGCCCCCGCTCCGAGTCCCCGCAGGGACCGCCCGGCTCCGGCCCCCGGCTCTGCTCCCCCCGCCGGGCGGCCCCTGCGCCTCCCCGAGAGCGCAAAGTTGGCGGCGCAAAGTTGAGACGCTCCGAGCCGGCGGCGGCCCCCGATTTTTCCCGTCCGCGGCGGTGCAAAGCCCCCGACCCCCCCCCGCTGCCCCGGGCCCGGCCCCGCCGGGGGCCACACGCCGCCCCCAGCCCAGGGCGAGCGGAGCGGAGCGGAGGCTGCGCCCCCATGTGCGGGCGCCCCGCTCCGGCCCCCATCGCCCGGCAAACTTCCCGCGTGGAGCCCCCCCGGGGAGGGGGCGGGGAACGGGCCCCCCGCGCTCCCCGCTGCCGGCCCACGCCGGGGTCCGGCGGACTCACTTCTCCCGGGCCTGGCTGTCCGAGGGCACGGCGGAGCCCTTCCCCTTGGCGTACATGCTGCGGCCGGGTTCGCCTGTGCACGCCCGTCAGCGAGCGCGGCCGGCGCAGCGCCCCATAGCCACGGCCACCCCGCCGGCCCCGGCCCGGAGCAGCGGCCGCAAACCCGGCAGCGGCGCTCGGGCGGGGGAGCTTGAAACCGCCGCGCAGGCACCGGGCAGGGGGGGCTCGCTCGCCCTCGCGCGCTCTCTCTCGGCTCTGTTGGCTGTTCCAGGAACGGCGCCACCTCCCCCCGCCCCGGCTCAGCTCTTAAAAGGGCAACGCCGAGGCTGGAGCGGGGGATTCTGCACGCGCGCACGCTCTCCCCGCCCCGCACGGTGCAGACACCCCACCGTGACACCCACCGGCCGGGCGCCCCCCTCGATCACCCCCATCACACGGACACGTGCTTCCTCCAGCCTCAGACTCTACCCAAGGCTAACATGGGCAGCCCCAGCATAGTGCCGCCAGCACCCTGCTCCCAGCACCCCACTGCCAGCACCCTGCTCCCAGCACCCCACTGCCAGCACCCAGCACCCTGCTCCCAGCACCCCACTGCCAGCACCCTGCTCCCAGCACCCCACTGCCAGCACCTCGCCCAGCACACCCAGTGCTCCCAGCACCCCACTGCCAGCACCCAGCACCCTGCTCCC